GTTATTTAAATTTTTGGATAAGTTAAAGTGAATGAAAACAAAATTAATTACCTAATTAGGTAGCTTGAACTTTCTTTAATCACATCGTATGTGCCTTGAGTATAGTAGACGTTTTTTTGGCTTGTTTCTAAGAACCTTTGTAAGTGGACCATGAGAGGAGGAAGAAAAAGACAGGACTAAAAGTAGGTTCTAATCTTTTCATTCTCTCTTGATAATTAATTAACATGCATTCATTCTCTCTCTCTCTCTCTCTCTCTCTCTCTCTCTCTCTCTCTCTCTCTCTCTCTCTCTCTCTCTCTCTCTCTCTCTCTCTCTCTCTCTCTCTCTCTCTCTCTCTCTCTCTCTCTCTCTCTCTCTCTCTCCTATATATAAATATATATATGATGTCATTTAATTGTGTTTATATGAAATGGAATGGTATATAAAAGTCCGGACAATTAGGGTATGTTCTTATTGACTGAACTGAGTTGAACTAAACTGAACTGAACTGAGTTGAGCTGAGCTGAGCTGAGCTGAACTGAACTGAATATTTTATAAGAGAAGGAAATTATGAGCTGAGCTGAACTGAACTGAATTGAGCTGAACTAAACTGAATTTCAACATATGAGAACAGGCCCTTATTTACTACATATATGTGATATGTCGATGAATTAGTTGTAAATTTGTAATTCACACGCTCGCATACATGATCGATCAGTTTTTAAAATAAAAGTATAGAATAGATAAAAAATGAGATAACTACTGTATAATTTTGAAGCATAAGAGATTTTTGAACAAAATTGAATAGGGTCCTTGATCGATATGATTAAATGGTAGGAATATATAATAATGTTACAGCTACTTCAATATATGCATAGTAGCACACTAGCACACATGCACTTTGTTAATGTGATATTGTACAAATCAATGAACATACAATTTAATTAAGTTAACTATTGCTTGATATAAGAAGCATATTATTATAAGTATTTTCTATCATGGGACACACTGGTCTCCTTTTTTTTTTTAACTTCTTTTTGGCTCTCTGTCATGCACCATATATGGTTGTGAAGTAAGTTAATTAGTACTAGCATATTACAAAGATAGATGATGAAATGATTTATGAAAGTATATATACTTGCAAAGTTGCAAAGCATAGGTATTATTAATGATAGCTATTGATTGATTTATATGAGAAATTGATAGATATTATATTTAGGATAATATTTGTCGTAGATTAGGATATATTTATTGTATATTTTGTATGTGGCTGTTTAAACACAAATTCAAGTCTAATGGTGACCTTGAAAGGCAGAAAGCTCGTCTTGTTTGTGATGGCAGGTCGCAGGAAGTTGGTGTAGACTGTGATGAAACTTTCAGTCCGGTAGTTAAACCGTCCACTATTAGAACTGTTTTGAGCCTAGCTATGGCTAAGAAGTGGTCGATACATCAACTAGATGTCAAAAACGCCTTTTTACATGGTGATTTGCAGGAAACAGTTTATATGCATCAACCTCCGGGTTTTGTTGATCAGAGGGCTCCCTCTCATGTTTGTCGGCTTCGCAAGGCTCTCTATGGTTTGAAACAAGCTCCCAGAGCTTGGTACCAACGCTTTGAAAATTTTCTAATTAAATTGGGTTTTGTCATTGCTAAAAGTGACAACTCTCTTTTTAGTTTCCGGCAGGGAGATGATATGGCATATTTGCTATTATATGTTGATGATATTATTTTAGCTACTTCATCTGACAGGTTGCACACAGAGATCATCTCTCAGTTGCAAACTGAGTTTCCCATGTCTGACTTGGGACCTTTTAGTTATTTTTTGGGTATTGCAGTAACCCGAAAACCATCTTATATGCTTCTCTCTCAGGAGAAGTATGCACTGGAGATTTTAGAGCGTGCAGGTATGGCCTCTTGTAAACCTACCGCCACTCCAGTTGACACTAATTCCAAACTTAGTGCAGATGCAGGCCAGGGCCACCTTTTCGGAATCCTACTTTGTATCGCAGTTTAGCAGGTGCTCTTCAGTACCTCACTTTCACCAGCCCAAATATTTCCTATGCGGTACAACAGGTGTGTCTATTTATGCATGATCCCCGGGAACCTCATTATGAGGCATTGAAACGCATTATGCGTTACATTCAGGGTACCATTGATCACGGTATACATTTATATCCTACTGTTTCACATCGACTGATTACTTACACTGACGCTGATTGGGGAGGTTGTCCCGATAATAGACGCTCCACATCGGGGTACTGTTGTTTCCTTGGGGACAACCTCGTATCTTGGTCATCTAAGCGTCAACATACATTATCTAAGTCGAGTGCAGAAGCAGAATATCGAGGCGTCACAAATGTTGTCTATGAGGCGTGTTGGCTCCGTAATCTTCTAATAGAGCTACATTGTCCTCTACGGCAGGCTACCATTGTTTATTGTGATAATGTCAGTGCTATCTACCTTTCTGGCAACCCAGTACAACACCAACGCACCAAACATGTGGAGATGGATATTCATTTTGTTCGAGAAAATGTTGCATTGGGGCAGGTTCGGGTTCTCCATGTTCCTACTAGATATCAGTTTGCAGACATTTTCACTAAAGGCCTTCCGCGAGAATTATTTCTGGAGTTTCGATCCAGCCTTAGCGTACGACCTCCTCCCGCTACGACTGCGGGGGTGTGATAGATATTATATTTAGGATAATATTTGTCGCGGATTAGGATATATTTATTGTATATTTTGTATTTTTATCGTATCTAGGATTCCTATCATGTTGAGGCCTAGCTTTGTAAACTCTATATATTTGATCAATGGTACAAACTCCATATTGAGGAGTTTTCCCGAAATCTAACATAAATCATGTCAATTTACTAAAGAGTACGACAAAATTTCTTTTGATAGGGAAGCTACAATAGGAAGGGATTACCGACTACTAATCATTTTGCAAAGTGCAATTACTTTTTAATAAATTTTAATCACACTAATTATAGTTTTATATGCATTGTATGAGATGTAAAATTATTTTTTTAGATAAATATTTATATATTGGGAGATAACAATATACTTCATTGCATGGAAATCAAAGTTCAAATGTCGATTGATAGCTACACGTACGGTGCAAGAAGCTAATTAAGCTAGGAATCAAATCACAAATTCTATATATTATAATATGTGTATTATTGACTTTATTGTACATGACCATGTAGAGGTCTCTTGTTAGTCCTTTCATCTCCACCCAAGTGACTGGGGTTCAATTTCTCATAGTCCCTATTCATGTGATAAAGTGAGGGTTCTTTTCCGTAGTTTACCGTTAAAATAATAAAAAAAAAAAAATTATATGTCTCTTGTTAATCTTTTACGTATAAAGGTCAACCTATGTATTTATTAGTCCTTATTAATGAGGAGAGGAGAGGGGAGTTGATGACATTTCTTACATGCATTGAATATTCAACTAGCAACCTATAATTTTATAAATCACCAAATGACTTCTTCAACACTAGACCAAGCCACACGTATAAGAAGGATCCATATTTGGTGCAAAATCATACACAATGTGATGATCTCTTTTATTTTTAGGCAAGGAGACGTGGTCTAACCTAACCAAACCTCAACTTAAACTGTGATCTCTTATGAAGTCAATAATATCGGTTAAATTACCTTTATAAGATGTACGTATCTATAATCTTAGATTGAATCAGTTTAGTTTTTTATTTCCTCACGAGGAAAAAACCCCAAGAGACGCCTTGACTGAAATGGATAGTGCTAGCTAAGAATCTTTTGCGCAAATGTTATTAGAATAAAATTGACCACAGTATAAGGTCTTTTACGCACCTTGATATTTAATAATTTATCGCCTTATCAATGTTGGGGGTTGTTATTGTATTTTTCTAATTCAGCAATAAATTATGGTTAGGTAATAGAAAATATTGGGAAGTGGTTGGTTAGTGGTAAGATCTTTGCTTTTGATTTTCTATTATACTATTATTAATATATTAACTATATTGATGATGATGATGTTGTTATAAACCATTTCTTTTTAACACTTGATGGTTTTTGTTTGAGAAACAAATAGAAACGAAAAGACTTCCAAAAGAAACATAATTGACTAATATTTTTATTTTATTAAATTTGCTTGAAAATTTGATTCTCTGAAAAAACAGTATATTATTCCTTTTGGAATTTATATTTTTGTTTAGACAACTTGATCTATTTTATAATTTGTCTCCTTGATTAAATTTATCACGTAATTTCATGATATGCGCGGGATCTTTCTCCCTTGTGCTCCACGTTATTTGTAGAAAATTATGAGGGTTTCATTAATAAATATGTACTACTAGACAATAATTGCTCATTTCAATAACAGATTCATAGTACATTTAATTAATATTAACTATAATCACTCTCTTTAGCCAATAACCACAAGTATACTACTCCACTTTATTTGAGCTATAGCAAAATGTGATTGAATTGTTACATAGTATTTTATTTGAGCTTCAATCATACTCGTAGCACTTTGTTACACTTACACAAAGCACACCTGATCCGACCCGACCCGACCCGACCCGATACCAATCCGAAAAATATCTGATTTAAATTTGGACTCGCGTGGACATAATAATTTAGTATGACTTAACTTTAAAAATTTACCCGACCCGATCCAACAATATCCGAATTGACACCCCTGCTTACACACTCCATGATTAAGAGTGTATTTAATTCACTTATTTTTTTCACTAATGTAAACTTAATTATACCCTCTTTTTTTTTTTGGTCAAAAGTAGGTGAATATAAGCTGAAGAGCAAGACCTAAATAGCTAGAACAAATTGCAAAATTGATGTTTAGTCCATGGATGGAGACGAGTTATATCATAAACAATCAATTCCTTAGAAAAATGTCCATCACATTTTAGAAGGATAATTGCTTCCGAAAAGGAATCTTGCTTTCGATTTTCTTACACTTGATTGGACTAGCTAGCTGTAAGTGTAAAAGGTTGTACTTCGTATTATAAATATACACAAAATAAATACGTAATTAATGAAATTTTAGATAGATTATTTAATTACAAAACATTATTTTTCATGTATGGTAGACTAAATCACGTACATATGCGCTCTAAATAAACTCCTACCTAATAGAGTACATTTTTTTCCCATGCTAAAAATATAAAATTAAATTAAACCAAAAAAAAAAGAGTGATAAAAAAAATCTAAGTGTTTTACATCTCACATACAATTTCTGAAATGTCACTCAACATTGTAATAAATGAAAGTTAGTTAAAAAAAATAAAACTGAAGGCTCCTTTGGCAGAGTATAATTGAGTCGCACGAAATTAACCATCATAGCTTCATCCCTTCATACACACGCCACAAAGTGATAGCTTAGCTTAGCTTCTAGCTCTCCCAAATTTGACCACTCAAATTTCCACATTTTTTGCCTATAATTGGATCAAAAGTAGTAAAATGTACTATTTTAATAATAATGACAAAACTAATTTACCAAAGTTTTATGCAAGGGATGATGAAGAAAAGTCAATAATAAAATTAATTTGTCTAATTTATTTATTGTTGCTAGTAATCCCATAAAAATAAATCTCCTGGCTGATGATCCTCAATGTGAGCCGTCGGCTCGTCGGCTTCGGGTAGCTGCCAGTGTAGCGAATCCTCGAATTTAATAACATTTTCAAGGTCTAAGAAGAGATCGGGCAAGTTGAAAAATATTGTGTCGTCAAAGTTGTAATCATAATTGGCTGATGAAGCTGACGATGACGTGTCGTAGTTGGATGACGTGGACGTGATTGTTGTATCTGGGGAGTCGGCTTGAGCTGATGGCTCGGCTTGTGATGAGTCGGGGAAATCCAAGGCGGCTTTAATAGCCGCGGCTTGAATATCCTTAGGAGCCGTGCTAGATGGCTTGGGAAGTTGATTGGCTAACTCGGGAAAATTTAAGTACGCATTATGACCCTTAATGGCTAGGGCCGCCACGTCATGGGCTCGAGCAGCCATATCAGCCGTGGCAAATGTCCCTAGCCATATCCTTGATTTTTTCCTAGGCTCGCGGATTTCGGATACCCATTTACCCCAATTCCTCATCCTTACACCCCTATACATAGGGTGTTTCCCTTCAAAATTTTCGGTACACTTCTTTTTTCGACCCTCATTACTAATTTTCTCATTCGGCCTTTTCGTACGAGTTTTTGTGGAGATGGAGGTGGTGGAGGAGGAGGTGGAGGGAGAGGTGGTATGGAGATCACAATATGAAGTGATCATGGATGGTTCTTCCATAAGAAATGCCTTAAAAATAAGGTTTTAGATATTATTATTATGTGAACATATATACTATATATATGTGACTAACTAAACATAAGTAATATAGTAGCTTCTCGAGGAATAAAGAGTAAATGGGGTATATTTATAGGAAGAAGAGCCAAAAGACAAAAGTGGTAGAACTAGTATTGACACTAATTCGGCTCTTTCCTAGCTTTGCCCCATCTCCCACTCTCTCTCTTTTTTTTTTTTACCCTTTTTCTTGTGTGTTTATAAAGGGACCCATCTTGGTTTGTAGTATTACTTAAATTAATGTGAAAAATTATATGGCTTTGACATTATTTTTAACAGGTTCCTTGTTAGTAGGTCTTAGTCCTTTGTTCTATTAACTACTTATATAATCAATCTAGATCTCATTCATAAAGCATATATAATTTTATATTGTTATATGATTTTGCTAACCTCGTGCGATTAATTATATTCTAATAATTAGATAGTTAAATTGTATTATTATGCAATTTACTAGGTTGTTAATATCTTAATATTAATGTTACGTCTATTATTTTTATCATATATAAATTAAACCTTGCGAATTAATTTGTTCTCTTTAGATTTTTTTTTTTTTTTTTTAAAAAAAAGACGTTGTAATGAGGTTTTAAAAGCGAGAAAAAACAAGTATTTTATAATAATCATATTGTTTGTGACTTTGTAATTACGTGGAGGCCGCCTATTGATCACCAATGTTCGTTGCTCATAATCATTTACTAATCGTAGCAATAGTTACTATGGAGTACAGTACCTTGTCCTACAAGGCTATGTGTTGTCAAAAGCAGTAAAATGTACACTCGTTTGTTATTAGAAAAAGGAGTGAAAAAAAAAGAAGAATAAAGAAAAAAAAAAAAGGTAATTCTAGCATAGCAATGATTAAGTTGCTTTCGCTATTTAATTAGCTTTTATGTTTTGGCTTTCGTCAAAGTATTTATGAACATAATCATTTCTAAGACAACCAGATTAACTGAGACAAGCACATAGATAGGAGCTTACTACTCCGTATCAAATAATGATTCTATAATCCTATAATCTATTATTTCTCATGTTCCAAAATAACTCACATAGTCAATTTTTCTACATATATCGAGCACTAATTTAACCTTATTCCTATATAATTAAATATTAATGAAGATTATAATTTTTTGATGAGAAGATTAAAGATTTCATTTATAAAATAGCCAAACGACACTTACAATCAATTTTTGAGAAATTTAAAATTCCAACAAAAACATATAAAACCCTAAAAATAACATCGAAGAATCGATTGATAATAACCTTAACAAAAAACTTCATCCGAAGCAATACAATCTGTGAGTTCACTCTAATGCGGCATAAGATCTGCAGATGCATAATTTTTTGGATGAATATCCTTCCTTGTTCTTCTAAACTCCGATAGAAATTGCGAAACCTTCGATCTTCATTCTTCAATAAACAAGTAATTAAAATCCCTACCATGAACACCATCTTAAAGATGATATCTTTTTATTGAAAGCAATTAAAGAGATTTTGGGGCTTTCCACCAGTAAAAACCAGTGGAAGCCCCTACAAAATTCACAAATAAAAATCAAGAATGAAGGATATAAAGAAAAGTAGCGAAGGATTGAAGAAAAAAAAAAGAAAAAAACCCTAGCAAAAGAGGCTAGGAAAAACCCTCCCAAGGGAAAACTCTAGAGGGAACTATCTCTCTCTAAAAACTAGAGAGAGAAAAAAAGCTTAATGAAGATTATAATAAGAGTTATATTATGATGAAACTTTATATTAATAATTTTCTAACAATCTATTTTATGACAAAAAATGTTTTTATTACATTAGTAAAAAAATTTAGTCAAAGTCAGAGCCAGCTATAAGGAGGAGCAGCTTGAGCGATCATTTAGGGCCCTCTTTTAGTGCCTCCTCTAAAAAAAAAATTAAAAAAAAAATTAAATTTTTTTTAATAAATGATTAATAAATAAATTATAAGTATTCATCTATAATTTTTTTTCCGATTTTTTTTCCTAATAATTCTCATAAGCATGTCAATAATTTTTATTCTTTCCTTTTCTATTTACCCCATCTCAAATTTTGTGGCACATTACCAAATTTCAATATGGTGATACAAATAATTAATTAAAAGATCGAGTTAAAAATTCAACAATAATACGTAATATAAGTGGATAAATATGTTCATAAATGATAAATATAATGTTTAGAGGTAGACCTTTTTAAGTTTTCGCTCTGAGCCCCATAAACTTCCAAGACGGCCCTGGTCAAAGTTAATATTTCCTCGATTTTTCTTTTATTGCACCATAAACACTTTTACAATATATATTTATTTAATCTTCTTTGACCATTATTTGTGATTTATCCATTAGATCAGATAAAAATAGTCATATGAAATCTAGTTAGATTTGTCTCGAAATCTACTTTTTAAATATTATTTTTTTTTAATTTTTATGTACAAAAGTATAATTGAAGATTCTAATAGCTAAAATAATGCTTTAGCAAGCATGAAATCCTTCATGTCATGGTGCAATAAAAAAGAACAAAGAAACGAAGGAAGTATGTAAATAGTGAAAAAAAAAGTTCTAACACCCGGTTATTTTGAAATGGAGGAAGTAAAAAAGCAAAAAGCTGGGATGAAAGAAATTCTTGTAGTCAGAAAATTTCATAGAACTATGTGCACATATAACGTGTGCAAATTCTATTCATACTCATTATCTTAAAAATAATTATAGGGCAACCTAATCCAATTAAATAATCCAAAGTGTTAAAAAGGCAACAACAACAAGAAAAATAACTCTTCATATATATATATATATATATATATATAATATATATATATATATATATATATATATATATATATATATATATATATATATATATATATATATATATATATATATATATATATATATATATATATATATATATCTCCTCATATAGTCATAAGAAAACATGAAAATTATAAACATCAGACAGTGTATTATTGCTCATACACCTAATAATAAGTATAGTACGATGTCTTTTCAAAAAAAAAAAAAAAAAAGTGTATAGTACGATGATAATCAATAACTATTGTATAATAAAGATCGATTATAATAACTAGTTAGTTATTATATTGTCTTTTTATAATTAATCAAAGATCATAACAGTACTTAGTTATGGATACTATGACATATATAACCAATATTCTTATGTATTTATCAAATTTTGAAAAAGACGTACATGATCGACTAGCAGTGTCATGGAAAAGTTAGAAACATGCATATACGAACTCGGTTTTAAATAATGCCTTTATTCATAGAAGATCAGCAAAAATAATGAACTAATTAAGTTTTCTACATTGCCACACTTTAAAAAATTATTAGCACCTAATGCCATTTTACAATAACCGAATAAATACAAGAATAATAGTATGTGCATATCTCTTACTTTGACAAAAATTATCCCGAATTAAATTCATCCGCTTGTTATCATCCCTACTTCAATTAGATCCTGTTCATATCACCTTAAAAAAAATATTCAGTAAAAATAATTTTAGTTTAGTAAAATTAATTTTAGTTCAACAAAAATAAGTTCAGGTCAGTAAAAATAAGTTCAGTTCAATAACAATAATATCAAATTTTTGGAGGATCATATAAGAATAAATAAAAAGTGTTAAAAAGTGTGGACAATTATATCATCAATTTCAAGTTTAATTCATATTATTTATAGCCAATTAGCCAATATATTATAAACAACAGACCATGTGTCTGCGAAAACACTTAATAAATATAATACGGTTTGTTACCAATAAGTCTTTTAAAAACAAAAACTATCATAATTAGTTAGTTAGTTATGGCTGCTAATAGTATAGATTTTTTTTTTATTTTTTTTTTAATGTATTAGGTGTGCTATTATCAAATTGTTGAAGAGACATTGACCAATAATATCATAGAAAAAAGACCAATTATAATAACAATAGTGAGTTGTATAGTGTCATATTAGCTAGAATTATTAGTATATTCATATTTTTATTGTTAGTAGAACTTGATATACAAAGGTGATTCATTAATTCACAATATGTATGCAACTGCTACTTCTTTTTAAGTGCAATCTTTCGTATGTATGGCCCCATTTTCAAATAATAAGACATATTTAGGGTCTAATCAAACTCATGAATGTATTTACGTGGTTTTGTGGAGCCTTTCATGGGAAACACATTATCTTGTCTTTATTACTAATTTGTCCAATATAACTTAAACAACATGTCATAATGTCATTAATTCTCAAATGCAGATTAGTGCTAATAATAATTGATCAGTTGACTACTATTGTGTTTAATTTCACTTCTTAATGCACTTTATGAGCTCAAAAAAGAAATTATATTGTGCATGAAGCTTTTTTCCCCCCCTACCCTAGTAAAAAAGAAGTGTTTTTTTTTGGGTGCAAGCTGTGTGCTCCACAAAAGAGTGGCAAGCCCCGATAATAAAAGACAAAAAATAAACTATTTAACATAGCGTATAACTCCCCTATAGCGAAATTTTGCAATTCCTTGTCGAGTAGCATGGAAGCACCCTTCTCCCTCTTGAACAAATCTTACTCTCCTTGGATTCGCTATGTTCATTCCACTATGACTATATTTGTCTTACAAAAATATTTCAGATAAAAAATAAAAAGTATTAGTGGAAATATTAGTTGCCAATCTACCGCCTCAGCAAATAATATTCCACTTATTAGAGTGAGATTAACCGTCAATCTATCGCCTTAGCAAGTAATATTCCACTCCGACTATATTATATTTATCTCACAAAAACTATTTTAGATAAAAAAAAAAAAATCAAAAAGTATTCTCTTTATTTTCTTCACAATAGTGTAAAAAAAAATTATGGCATTGGATACTTTGTGTTTGTTTAAATTTAGCTTTACAAAATTCTGCTCAAATAAAAAGAAGCACTGCGTTAATTTGTGGGTGATATTTAAGGTTGGAACGTAATCATTTAATTTAGAAAATCTTAATCTCGGGTTCTAATGATTGCTTTTAGAAAAGGAAAGTCAATGGACCTTACCATTTTATGGTAACTATTTAATTTGTAACTCCTTTTATGTTACAAATTAAATAAGGAAAGTCAATAGATCTTGCTAACGAGCGTCCCGGGGCGTTAGATAAGGATAAATTATATTGGTTGGAATGGTATTAAGTTAGGAATTCATGATAAAATCACGCGTTGTTCGGTGTAATTAATGTTAATTTTTTAATATTTGCACTTTAATTCTTTTATCTAACGCCCCGGGGGCCGCTCATTAGCTTTTGCCTTGTTGATTAACAATTGAAATAGTAATGTGTGTTGCACGATGGAATTGTGAAATTGAGTCGTGTAGAAGCCGAAGGTGAACAATGATATGCCAAA